GCCCTCTCGGTCGGCAGGCTATCCGGAGCCCGCCTAGATGGCGCCGGTTAGAGTGAGCTATCCTACGGAATACCCCGCTGGGTGAGAACCAGCGTGGGTCGAGGATATCCGGCCTTCCATCACCCGGATGCTCTTGCGTAAAACGCGTGCAGAGCAGCATGCACGACGTCTTCTTAGGTCCCCCTCGCCGGTCCCCAGACCGACATATGAGGGGGACCCGAAACACTTAGAGGGCCAGATCTTGGGCGAGATCCGCCTCCTTGGCCCCCGCTCGACGGCGGCGGGCTTGCGCGTCTCTAACGCGCCCCGCCGCCTCCTTCTGCGAGATGGTGCACTCGCAGAAGTCGAGCATCGCCTTCCACGACTCGTCGTCGCCGAGCATCGATGCCACAACACTCGGCAACGACAAGTCGTTTCCTATTTTTGCGACGAGGACACGGCGCCACCCCTCCCATGCGGGGCAGGNTCTCTAACGCGCCCCGCCGCCTCCTTCTGCGAGATGGTGCACTCGCAGAAGTCGAGCATCGCCTTCCACGACTCGTCGTCGCCGAGCATCGATGCCACAACACTCGGCAACGACAAGTCGTTTCCTATTTTTGCGACGAGGACACGGCGCCACCCCTCCCATGCGGGGCAGGCGACGAGCGTATGCTCTGCCGTATCCAAGTCAGGACAACCGGCCTAACATGAATTGTGATTAGTGTTTGAATACCTTCGAAATAATCTCGAAGTATTTAATAATTAGGGACGAAACAGTTGACTGCTTTGGTTATTTGAAAAAAATAACGATGAGCTAATAGATGTGACACAATGTTTCTGACTTATTTACATCATTTCTTATCTTTATTACTTAAATGAAATTATATTATTATCTGTAATCTGTTTAAATCTGAAAGTTTGGTATGTTTGTTACTCAATCACGCAAACGTGGTTAAACTAATTTGGATTCAGTTCACTTTACTCTTAATAATATCCTTACATAGGATACTTGTTATCATGGTAAATGACATAATCCGGGCCAAGTATATCTGCTATAATAGATAAGCGTGTTCGCTAGTTCATAATATCAAGTACAGACGGATCTACAAATCCCCTGGTAGTTGCAACAGAGTGTAACACGACAAACTTGGAACCTCTGGGTCTGCGAAGGGACTTCGGTTCCCTCTGTATTTTGTACCGTATGTTCCATGGGGAGTGCTCTGAGATTTTTTTTGAGATGATACCATCATCTTGTTTTTATCATCGCACCGCCCGCCACCGGAGTAGAGGCTTTGGAATGAGCTCCCCTCCACAGTCCTACCCGAGCGCTATGACATATCCTTCTTCAAACGAGGCTTGTGGAGAGTACTTAACGGAAAGCAGCGGCTTGGCTCTGCCCCTGGAATTGCTTAAGTCCACGGGCGACGGTAACCACTCACTATCAGGTGGGCCGTATGTTCGTCTGCCTACAAGGGCAATAAAAAAAACTCATAATTCCGGCAACACGTTTCATTATTTCTGAATGACAAAATTTAACAAATCTGAAATCACGCCTTAGAAAATATTCGAACAAAACATTTTTTTTTATACTTTTAGATCGTCGGTTGCTAAGAGAGTTCATGACACATGTACCTACACATAGACTGTGTAAATAAACGGGGGCTAGATAAAAGAATGTAACCTCCACATGTGACCGTGTGCTAACGATAAATAAAACAATAAAATCTATACACATAACGCTATTGTGTCATTCGAATTATGATTTATTTTAGTAGTAATTGTTTTTTTTTATCTCTTTCTAATAGCTAATGCTATGAAAATGAGTGTATTATAAACGAATATAGCATTATCCTCCGATTTTCAGACGCGCCAAAATAAAATTTATACGCGTTCCAAAACAATTTCAGTCCAAGTGTGTATATGAAATAAAATTCTTAAAAAAAATCTTGACATTGGAACAAGAATATAAATTCAACTTAATATACGTAATAAATTCAATTTATTCGTTCTCACATCGTTTATCCCATTGTGTTGAACTCTTTGGAGATATTCTAGAATATTCGGGAATTCGTTTCTAACGTAATACCCTAAACGTAGAAAAGGAGCGCGTCCACCCTGTTGCTTTTTTGAATAAACGGCTAACAATGCTGACATCTCCAGTATGACAATCAAAGACAGGTTAGATGTTATTAATGATACGCCTTTCCGTCTATTCCTTAACAAAGGTATGTCATCATACCATGTCATAAGAGCCTTTAGATCTCACATTGTTTTATGTTATAGCAAACCCAGGATGTATTTTGTAAGAGCCTTTAGATCTCACATTGTTTTATATTAAAACAAACCCAGATGTATTTTGTGCAGTCGCATATCTTCTTCTTCGTTTTCTCCACCTTATCCCACTGGGTGGGGTCGGCACAGGGAATTTTCCACAGGAGTGAGTGTTAAAATGACGGCTGATAAAGGACTATCAGCCGTCATTTCAACACTCACTCTTCTCTCTCTCTCATATCGTCATTCACACACTCCATCCATTACATCTTCGGTCGACCTCTTCCCCTTCTTCCTTGTTGCAATAATAGTTTAAAATAAAAAAACACGTTTTTGTAGCTAGCTGAACTAAAAAGTACAAAATTGTTTTCTGAAGTTTAAAAAAATAGTGATTAAGAAAGAAAAAAAAAACAGATTTTATCGTAAAAAATAGTGGGGTGAAAAATTTTAAAGCACTTTATGACAGGTTTCCATCAGACAAGCTCACAATACTCGTATGCCGTAAATATCGCAGTATTCCCGCAATGAATAATGTAAAATGTTTATTAACTTGCGGAAGAAAAATTTTGTCACTATCATGTACACTCGTTTTTTAATAGTTTCTCTTTTTTTTCTACCTATTCGCTGGTAACCTAAAGGGCTATTCCAGCTACGCCCAGGCGAGATTTTTTATTGAACAAATTCCCCATTCGGTATTTGTTACCTCGCTAATCGTTATGTTCGGATACTCTCTTCTATCTTCTATATCGTTCCCTCACTACTGAGGATCGCGACCACATGCGACGTACTTCCAATGTGCTCGATCATGGGTGGCATGGACTGCATGGTACAGACTACCACCGAGTGCTTCTCTTGCTAGATCTGACCATCTGGCTGGTGTTCTGCCCACGGCGCGCTTGCCTTCTATTCGACCCGTAATTATGAGCTTCTCTAATTCATGTCTGNCTTCCAATGTGCTCGATCATGGGTGGCATGGACTGCATGGTACAGACTACCACCGAGTGCTTCTCTTGCTAGATCTGACCATCTGGCTGGTGTTCTGCCCACGGCGCGCTTGCCTTCTATTCGACCCGTAATTATGAGCTTCTCTAATTCATGTCTGGGAGACCGCATGATGTGTCCGAAGAAGCTCATAACACGTTCCTGGCAGATGGAAGAGAGCCTTTTTCGGATGTCTGGCTGCCTTAGAATGGACTCGTTTGTTCGCATGGCAGTCCACGGTATTCGCAGCATCCTCCGCCACACTCACATTTCAAAGGCATCGATCTTTTTGATATCCCGGCTTTTTATGCACCATGTCTCCGCCCCGTAGAGGAATATGGGAAAGATCAGTGCCCACACCAAGCGCACTTTGGTTTTATATTTGGTTATATGTTCGGATACACCAAAACATATTTTTCATCGTTAATCACCCGATATGATAATAGGTGCAATATCATAATCGAGTTTATTTATTATCGTTTTATAACGAGATATAAAATAGGACGATCTCGAATCTCAATGGTATTTATAATTAAAAACGCATTTAATGTATTAATACGTTATTTATCGATTAAAATGATATCAACAGTTTGTTTTTGTTTTCATTGTGAATTGCTTATATTTAAATGTATTTTAGATCATCATTATATTGATGCGGATATTTTATATAATTTAGTTGTCCTATGTTTGGATCTGGACATGCATCAAATGCTTTGAATGTTTTTTTGAATACAAGATGTATGTAATGTAAAACGTGTTAATATTTGCTAAAGTTAGCTTTCGTCATCAGTACAGCAGCAAACGACGGCTGAGTTGAATTATGCTCATAATAGCTCACAGTACATAGATCATATCATCATAGTATTCGGAAGTTCCCCAATTGTAGGTACCTGTTGAAGACAGCTCTGACAGTTTGCTCGGAATTTAGTGTAAATATTTTGTAAGAGTACAAATTGTGTGTGCCTTTGGAAGGCGAGGGAAACATATCGAAGAGGGACAAACGGACAATATGCACCCGAGCTTAACTGGTATACTGTATGAGGAGACGGCGTTCAATCCTTTTTATTGAATTTAGAGTGTCAGATCGACTAATGGCTCACTTCTATCGGTCTCGGTTGCCTATAAACACAAAAGCACAAATTCTGCCTGTGTCGTAACACATATTAAATATCTCAAATAAAGGTCAATTTTAACTTTTCTGCTGAAATAGTAACTTGACTGCGGCAGCTCACCATGGCGGTCAGTACGACCCTTAGTACCTACCACTCGGTAACCTTTTGGTAGGTTTGCCTTTTAAAACATCAAGGATCCTCCTCCTTGCGTCGTATTCCTCATTGCTGAGGGTCGTGACCACTCTTTTGTATCACCCTCGCACGCACGATCTTACTCACTCTGGTTGTTACTGATTGCATAAGCGGATTTTCTTGGTAAGGTAATCGCGGTGGGTTGCCACGTCCTTCCGCGCGCATCAAGGATAATATGATACATATCCAGCCTGCAATAAATTCAAAATCATTTATTTCAACTTAGATGTCAGTATAACACACTTGTTGAATGTCAAAATATAAATAACAATATTAACTCTACCACCGGTTCCAAAAAAAGCCACAGTCCTGAGAAGAACCGGCGAAACAAACTCAGCTCATGATTTCGAGATTGAATCGCGATCACTTAATACTTTTTTTTCTATCTATTCTAGTGACCTCGTACGCTTAATAATACACAACAAGCTAATTATTCATTTAATCACCCCCTTACCTCAATTTCAGTATTACTGGAGGCGTGTCAGAATGATGCGTCGTGCCTACAAGACCATGCCGGATTGGAGGCCATCACACTTTTGCACCGGCAGCTCGATGATGACGCCAACGGAAACGTGGACTTGAGCGAGAGTGATGATGTGAGTATAATATAAATATAAATAAACTAGCTGTAACCGTCCGCTTCGCTGGGCATTTAAAATTAACATAATTATTTCTCACCTCCACAAACATTCTCATCATTAACGCCCCCGCAACTGGTGTAGGGAGTCCAACACTCATATTAATTAGCCTATCCATTAAGCACATGTATTTTCTACATGGATACCAAGTTTCAAGTTAATCGAATGCATGGTTCAGTAGTTATAACGGAACATCCGTAAAAACCACTGTAGATTTATATATTAGTATAGATGTAAACATTTACTAACAATCACGCTACGTTAATTGGTCCCGTGATAAGTTCGTAAAGAACTTGTGTTACAGGTACCGGATAACGGAAATAAATGTAAGATTTTTATTATACACATACATATATTTAATATACATCCATAACCTTGGAAAAGACATTTTATATGTCACTTACCATTACACCAGGCGGCCGTTATAGCCATCTATATAATATATTATATAATAGTACCAACCATTGTCCACACTTTCAGGTACGTGGTAAGCGTAAGCAGGTTCAATTACGATCGCCCATAATTAGATATCAGATTTTTATCTACATGCAGTAGACGATGTAAGACCATTGTTCCGTTTATCATATTTTGTTCTGCGGCGAACATATTTTTAATTTATATTGAATCCGGTTGCGCAAGCTCGTTATCAAATTAACCAATTACACATAGTTTATTTTATGATTATTTTATACTTGTATACGTTGTAACTATACTGAGACCTTAGAACTTATATCTCAAGGTGGGTGGCGCATTTACGTTGTAGATGTCTATGAGCTCCAGTAAACAATTACCACCAGGTGGGCTATGAGCTCGTCCACCCATCTAAGCAATAATTTAAAAAAAAAAACCTTGTTATTCTCATTGTTTGGCTTCTTCGAATGAGTTCCCATACGGACAGTTTTTGTTAGTTTGACATTGTACCTGAATAATAGGTATTCTATCAAATCAGACATTATCAATACGTGACAACTCCATACGGCCTTTATTACAAAGGTTCAGTGTCATGCAAAAATGTCCTACTGTTTTCCGTGACACTCGACAAGCGTTCAACCACTCATTATGAAAACACCTTGATACCACCGTTCTCGGAAGTGATTCCGATGTCGCTTTAAACTTTCCGGAATTCAAGAAATTTATACGTATGCTCTATCTCTAACAATCCTCAAATCACCGAGTTTCTCGCCGGATCTTCTCAGTGGGTCGCGATTCCGATGGTAGATTACGCGAAGGACTGCGAAGGACTGTTGTTCTTAAGGTCAGTGTTAACAATTCTCTCAAGTTGAGACAGTGATCTCACCATCGGGTACGTGAGCAGTTGGAATCTATATATTAATACGTGAAGCAAAAACTTTGTATCCCTTTTTACGAAAATTGCGCGGACGGTGGAGTATGAAATTTTCCACACTTATAGAGAATATAGAGAATATAGAGAAGAAGTGCACAATGCTAGTATTTTTTTAAAATCATGCATAAAAGATACATTAAATCAATAAAGAAAACATTACACACACTACATACCATGTATTTGACGTACACACGCATGCATACTATTTATTGTCAAACTTTTGTTCTTGACGTCTGTTGTCAAATGAGAATAGATTAAATATTGTTTGTCTTTGTTAATATTTTTTATAGTGTAGTCTTGGCGAAATTTGTGATTATAGAAGTATCAAATACAATCATAATAGCGTACAAACTTACAATTCCAATTAATTATAGTCGAATTTCGACTATTGCGGGACCTCTAGTAACCTTTTAAACTACTAATTACTAAGTAGGAAAGGTAAAAAATATTCGTACAGCAAATAACTAGATGACAAAAATCAATAACATGAAATCATTATCACGTATATACGTATGTAGCGAATGATGTATTTGTTCAGACATATTTTTTTTCCCTACCTATTCTAGAAACCTCGAGGGGTTATTCTAGATTCGCCGAACTTGTAGGTGAGCTCACGGGGCTCAAACCTGACGACGTTGCTAACACGAACCCTAGCAAGGGCAGTGCTTCGCGGAATTTACCACCGGATCGGAAACGTCACCCACTGAGAAGATCCGTCGAGAAACTCAGTGGGATGTGTCTGTGGGGTAATTTACCCGTCGAGCCCTTCGTCGTTGGGTTCAACGAAATGCGGTAGGTAGCGGCTTGGCTCTGCCCCTGGCATTGATGAAGTCCATGAGCGACGGTAACCACTCACCATCCGGTGGGCCGTATGCTCATCTGCCTACAAAGGCAATAAAAAAAAAAGAGAATGATGACCGGTTTCAGACATCAATAACCAACGGCGGATCCAGGGGGGGGGTCATGGGGGTCATGACCCCCCCCTGAGCTAGTTCCAGGACTTGAACTAACTTGGACTAATTGAAGAACATCATGATTTATTTATTATCTATCGACTATGTGACCCCCTCCTGGCGCCAAAGCTGGATCCGCCCTTGTCAATAACATTATACTATTGAGAAAGACTGAAGTAAAAATATGTATCAGTTCAATAAGTATGTTATTGATGTTCAATTGAAACTATTAAAAGGCGTGCCCTCAAATGTTACTATCAATTACAATATTGAACGAATTCAACACTTGCACTGCTCGGTATCTAGCCCATTGTGGACTTTTACTCACTGATTCCACCTTATAAAAGTATTCGAAACACTGGTTCAACATTTGTTTTGAGATTAGATTTAAGCTTTGTTGTACAGCAAAATAAATAAATTGTTCTTAATCTTAACGCCTTATCTCTTTTAGGTAGCCGTAATTTTTTTTTGTTTTATTGCAGAGATGGTTAGACGAGCTCATATCCCACCTGGTGTTAATGGCTACCGGAGCCCATATACATCTCTACTAAAGTAAATGGCGACACCCAGCTTGAGATATGAGTTTTATGGTCTCAATATAGTTACAACGGCTGCCCCACCCCTCAAACCGAAACGCATTACTGCTTCACAGCAGAGATAGGCAGGGTGGTGGTACCTCCTCGTGTAGACTCACAAGAGGTTTTACCACCAGTAAAAATGGATCAAATCAAGGTAGAACTAACGGTAGACTGCGGTGTAACAATTTAAATCACTTAGTTGATTAAATGGGACGCAATTTTTTTTGTTTAGTTATACACATATAGTCATTGAATACGTATATGGTTGGCGGAATCGATGTAATCTGAACATGCGGTAATGGATAAACAAACACGCGTCTATATTGAGTTTAATATCCTGTACAACAGAGCTGTTGACTAGATATCTAGTTTTTTCCTTGAAAATTGATTGAGTAAATATGTAGTTCTAAGCTTAAATTAAATAACAAATAATGTGATGGGTTCAGAGAATTATGTATATCATGTTTGATTATGAAAAATATGTTTCCTTAAGTCTTTCTGCCCAAAACTAAAAACTAGTGAGATAAATTTACCCTGATTATTGATGGGTTTGTGCCATTGGTCTATCTAGGAAACGGTTTTCTTTATTTTTATAGCTTACATAGTTGGACGAGCTCACAGCCCACCTGGTGTTAAGTGGTTACTGGAGCCCATAGACATCTACAACGTAAATGCGCCACGCACCTTGAGATATAAGTTCTAAGGTCTCATATAATTAAACTGCGCAAATAGCCGGTATTCCGATGCTCCGCACTTTATACGCATTAATAGAGAGTCGATGTATCGACGGTTTGCGCTCAAAGGGTTAAAAATATAGTCTTAGGGCGATTCAGATTTTTGTTACATTGTACTAGAAAAGTTTTCCAGAAGCCCGCTCGGGTCATTGGGTCATTAACATTAGACTGGCCGTGGGCTTTCATCTACTCGAAATGAAAGATGAATCTACTTTTTTTAAGGGATTTTATGACCTAGTAACTAAGACCTTTAAGTCATGTCTTATTTTAATTTATTTTCTTATTTTCATGAAAAATTATGAAATGAAATGAAGATGATTAATTTGAGACATTAATCAACTGGGACGAAATCAAATGAAATGAGATAAGATAATATGGGATGAAATATAATCTAAGTAAAATGGTGGTCATCTACTGAGACTTTTTCATTGGACTTTTTGGGGGATCCCGAGAAGTGACGTCCAGCGGCTTTGTTTCATTTTCCCACATTTATGCACTTTCACAGATATTAAACAGTTAACAATCCACCGTTATTACACATTTAAACCTGAAGAAACACTAAATAGGCTAAATAAAACAAATCACACAACTTCACTCCTCGCGTTCCCACCAAAAAGTCAGTACAATCTGCTATTAAAAAAAAACTGTCCTACCCTCGACTTCGAATAATTGTGTTATAACGATAAATTATGATAAATAGTTCGATTATCTTCATTGATACGGGACCTTGATATTGACAAGTGACTAAACCGGTTTTCATTACAAACACTAAGCTCTGTGTATACATGGATCACGTTCAGCGAATCCTATTAAATATTGAACTTTGAAGTTCAATGACTCACTTCGGAATAGCATTTTTGTGAATGGTACTTACTATACAACGAATATGTCATTATATAAATTTAATAAAAACTGTATTTATTTAAGAAAAAGGTAATCGAGACAACAGTGTATTAGAATTATTTGTAGCGCTGAACTGCATCTATAAGTAGTTTTTTAGTTTTTTTTTTCATTGTTTAGACGAGTGAACGACCTCACGACCCGCTGGTATTGAGTAGTTAGTAGAAGTCATTCGCGAATCAGATACTCTTGACTTGTTAGGTCTCTTTGGGAGGCGCTCGGGTAGCCGTTAGCAAATCCCACCCCGCCTAGCTGAGCCCTTGCTCGCCCACCTGCCCTGGTAAAACTGGAAAGGCCTCCGGGCCACCAGTAATCTCTCAAACATAAAAAAATTAATAGAATGCATTATACTCATTCGCGTCAGAGATGGGTAGGGTGGTGGTACTTTATACATGCGTGTTCACAAGGCGCCAACCCCAGCTTCGTTTTTGTCGTAATTTTTTATAATTATATTCCACATTTCACTCAAATTTTATCATCATACGAAAACGCTACAAGTAAAATGACACTAACAGAAACATGTGTTATAAAAGGAGCCTTTTTTTGCATCGATGAATTAAACAGCTCATTCATAGTATATACTTTTATTATTAAGTTATTACCGGGACTCATAGACATCACAAAATGGATGACTTTGAGACATGAGATCAATTGTATTGTGTAACAGGTGACCCGTGCTGCTTCAAACCGGAACTTATGACGCAAATTATAATTTTTTTCTTTTAACACACAATTATTACAGCATCGCGGAAGTCGTTTGTGAACACATGTTAAGTTCGTGTTACATTAAAAAAAAAAAAACAGATGCTTGGTACGAGTATACTGGTCGCCGTATCCTGTAAGCCCCGACTGCTCCAAATTATTCACCATTACGTCACTAAAGAGATCGATTTAAGTAAACATGTTTATATGTATGTTTTTTTTATTTTTTATTTATTGCTTAGATGGTTGGACGATGTTAAGTGGTTACTGCAGCCCATAGACATCTACAACGTAAATGCGCCACCCACCTTGAGATATAAGTTCTACTAAGGTCTCAGTATAGTTACAACGGCTACCCCACCCTTCAAACCGAAACGCATTACTGCTTCACGGCAGAAATAGGCGGGGTGGTGGTACCTACCCGTGCGGACTCACAAGAGGTCCTACCACCAGTAAATATATTAAAAATAATTATTTATTTTCAGTTCCTCCGCGAAGAGTTGCAGTACGACAGCGGCTACGAGAAGCGACAAAGGGCGTTCCACCACAATGACGATATGCACATATCTGTCAAGGAACTATGGGAGGCGTGGCTTAGATCGGAGGTCAGTGGCTGTGAGATAGATAAAACATAGTATTTTTAGTGAAAAACGGTCGCACACCGCTATGACCATTGTTAATTCTTTATACAATGAGCAGTCGAGGCAGCGACCCACCCTATGGTGAGTGAATGCCGTCGTTCGCACATTAGCTATGCCAACGGTACAATTAACCCGCACCTACCTCTGACTCTTTTCAAACCACTGTTGAAATACATCAATATATTGAGATTTTAGATAATGTAGCAAAAGCCCATGATGTGTCAGAAGCTGTAATAAAATTTCGAATAAATTAGATAAACAATGTAAGGATTCATAAGTCAGGGATACACACTCATTTTTATATGTTAAGTGTAGATCGGAATAGAGAACTTTTACTTGTGGTACACAGTTGTGTTAGACTATGTGATATTATTAACATATTAGGTAAAATACAAGAAAATTGACATAATAAGTTCATGACATCAACAGCCCTTTTTATTCTCTACCTTTGCTGATAGCCTTGAAATGCTATATCAGCGTTACCCTAACGAGTAGGTGAGCTCTCGGAGCTCAAACCGGAGGTGTTGCTAACACTGGCCCTAGCAAGAGCAGTGCTTCGCAGAATCCACCACCGGATCGAAAACGCGACCCGCTGAGAAGATTCGGCGAGAAACTCAGTGGGCCGACAGCCCTTAACAATAAAACTATGCTACAAATATATTGACATGCATTTAATGGCTCGCGGTATATACGTTTGTTTTTATGTAACAGAATATTTAGAAGTCATTTTCGAGATCAAGATCAACTTCAAGATGCCCGATTAACTTGAACATTTGCACACGCATCAATGAGCGATGACAATACAATAATTTATTAAGCTCCCTCTAATATCTCAACCAGTATTAACATTATAAAAAGATGAAATTAATTGTAATTGTACTTGCTATTTAAGCGCGTTTTTTTTAAACATTTTTTTTATTTTATTGTTTTATCTTTTAGGTTCACAATTGGACGGTGGAGCAAACGGTCGAGTGGTTATCAGAATCCGTGGATCTTCCGCAGTACACAACATTATTTTTACAGCACAAAGTCACTGGCGCTACGTTACCAAGGTATGTTTTATTTCAATTATAATTTAGCTAAGGACCGATTAATTATAATCATAATACTAGGAGAATAATATTAAATCGAAAACTGATTGCTATTCCAGAAACAATATAAAATCGCGATTTAAACCTACGTTTAACTAAAATTTTGATTTTTATATTTGGAACGGGTTCAACGACCTCTCGCAACCTGTGACTACCTCGCTATAGACACATATAAGACGGTAGTGCCACATAAGTATTAAAGTCGTACAAAAAATGCGTCATTACGATTGATTTATTGTATACTCTGTATAGTTAGAACGCACGGATAGATTTGTCTGTCTAGGTTTATAGGAAAGAAATGGTGTTTATTGTTTCGTCCGCGAGAAGCTCCAATTACACCTTACACTAACAGCGGATAAGTATAAAAAGAAAGGAAAAAAGGTATTCGGTGTGGTAATAACTCATGCGTGCCGGTTTGAAGGGTGTCATATTTACACTTTGACCTGATGTTTCAAAGCGGGTCTTGTTTCGAGCTTAATATCTATAGACTTAGGTAAACTGCGTAACATTGGTACGTATCTAATTCGATGATAATAAAACACTAAAACGTCAGAGTGTAAATTCTACCATGCAGACAATACCGTTTTTGATATATGTAGTTACATATTAATAGATTAAAATTTTACTATATTTTTTTTAATACATGCTATATTTTGTCTTACTTTATCAGTTGAGCGCCATCTGTTTGTCATCGAACCATTGGAAATATTGTCTAGGAATTATAATCGAACTGAATATCGACCACATATTCCTAAGTCTTCTTCGATTTTCGCGAGTAGTCGACAGTTTTCTAATGAAATACATACTTAACAATTGTTCACGATTGACTTCCACGGTGAAGGAATAACATCGTGTAATAAAAATCAAACCCGCAAAATTATAATTTGCGTAATTACTGGTGGTAGGGCCTCTTGTGAGTCCACACGAGTAGGTACCACCGCCCCGCCAATTTCTGCCGTGAACCAGTAATGCGTTTCGGTTTGAAGGGTGGGGCAGCCGTTGTAACTATACTGAGACCTTAGAACTTATATCTCAAGGTGTGTGGCGTATTTACGTTATACATGTCTATGGGTTCCAGTAACCACTTAACACCAGGTGGGCTGTGAGCTCGTCCACACGTCAAGGGAATAAAAAAATATATATATATAAAAAGTATTGTAACTTAAAAGTAGGAAAACTGCACTCGGAACGTCTTATATAGTATAATGGCAATAAGTAACGCGAAATTAAATCTTAAAAGTAGTTTTATTTATATTTTCAAATCATATTATCAGCCATGAAACTTGTTTTATTTATAAACTAATACAATAATATATTTTCGGTCCGTGGAAATCAATTTATGAGTCGAAATGTAATTGCAGACTTGAAGTCGATTACACAATATATACTGTATAATATTATTTTATTGTAAGCGCACAATTTTAAACATAGTTTCTTTGCAGACTTGCCGTAAACAACATGCAGTATCTGAGCAATGTGCTCGGCATCAAAGATCCCATACACAAACAGAAGCTGGCGCTTAAAGCTATGGACGTTGTGCTTTTTGGGCCACCCAAAGGTAAACAAAGATTTTTAATTAATAATATAGTATAACAAAAATATATAATATAACTAGCTGACCCGGCAAACGTTGTGTTGCCTTAAATAAGATTTCTAGTGAAATTCTACTGTAGAAAAAAAAACCTCATTTAACCACATAATACCTCATTATAAACAAAAAAAAGATATCCAAAAAATTAAAATTAAAAAATGTTTGGGGTGGACAACCCTTTTCACTTAGGGGTATGAAAAATAGATAGTAGCCGATTCTCAGACCTAGTGAACATACTATTGAAACACAAATAAAACCAAAAAAACATGGCTGAAAAATGTATAGTATTGTATAGCTCTTAAATATACTAAGTCTTAGTGTATAATCTATGATGTATAGTGAGCGAGTAAGACAGGAGACCGGCTTCGTCCTCATCCCTACTACGTGATGTTTGCTGGATGAGTGGTGACACCTGGCGGGGATAGCTGATCGATTGATAGTTGATCAGTAGTCGGACGGCGAGGGCGGGAGATCAAATTCAATTTAAAAAAAACATAATTAAAGGAACTTGAAATTATAAACTCTGAATAAGAATTTATCGTACTACAATTATAATATTTGATTGCCATCTTGCAACCTTATTGCGGATCTGTGCATAGAATAAAAAAAATATTAATCGGGATGGAAAAATAGGGGTTGATCGTATTAGAGTGAAAATTGAGAGTAATATGATTTTTTTTTATATTAAGTCATGACAAAACAAAATAAAAAACTTGCCAAAAAAATTAAAGTTTATAATTAACAAATAAAAAATAGGGGTTGATCATAGAGGGATGAAAAATTGAGAGTAACATCAGATTTTTTATTTTAATTCATGACAAAATAAAAATAAAAATGAAAATCTTGCCTAAAAAATTTAAGTTTATAATTAACAAATAATAAAAAATAGGGGTTGATCGTAGAGGGGTGAAAATTTCAGAGTAATATGAATTTTTTTATTCTACGTCATGACAAAATAAAAACAAAATTCTCGCAAAAAATTTTAAAGTTTTTAATTAGCAAATAAAAAATAAGGGTTGATCGTAGAGGGATTAAAATTTAGGGTTGTATGTATTTTTGTATGTTGTATCATAAAAAAATAGAAATTAAAAATTTTGTATAAAAAATAAAAATAAAAATTTAGGGGTGGACTACCCCTAACATTTAGGGGGATGAAAAATAGATGTTGGCTGATTCTCATAGATACCGGATAAGCACAAAAAATTTCATCAAAATCGGTCAAGCCGTTTCGGAGGAGTATGGCAACGAAAACTGTGACACGAGAATTTTATATATTAGATGAAACAAATCCTGTCGCGTTGCGATTACCGTCACAAATAATAATAATAAAAATAATAATTTTTTTTAATGCTTGAGCGTGAGCTATGTGCCCAATTTGTGTTAATTAGTTACTCAAGAAATACGACATGACTTAAGTAAATGCGTTACCCACACTGAGACATGAGTTCTAAGTCTCAATTTTTTTTTTTAGATGGGTGGACGTAGCCCATAGACATCTACAACATAAATGCCGCCACCCACCTTGAAATATGAGTTCTAAAGTATCAGTATAGCTACGATAGTTACCCCATCCTTCAAAACAAAGCGCATTACTGCTTCACGGCGGAAATAGGCAGAGCGGTGGTACCTATCCGTCCGGATTCTTAAGAGGTCCAGTAATTATCATACTAAGGACAGTCCCGCCCTTCAAACCGACCCACAAACACAACACACTGAATTTCGCGGTGAATCTTCTCAGTGGGTCGCGATTCCGATCCGATCGTAGATTCAACTAAGCACTGCTCTTGCTAGGGCTAATGTTAGCAAAGTCTCCCAGGCTGAGTCCAGAGAGCTCGACTACACATTCGGTGCAACTAGTATAACTCCTCGAGGATAATAGTAGTGGGTAGGCAAAAAAAAACCGGAACGCATTACTAGTGCGTGCCATAAATATGTAGGGCTGTCACTCGTAAATAATTACTGTATTTAAAAAACGAATGTTGAAGTTAGACGCGCGCCATCTGTCATTCGCTAACTGCACTAGAATAGAAGCCCTTCCTTAACTATGTCGTAAACGAAGCACGCACATACTTTTTTTTCGATAAGACTCCCCGCGCACATAAGCAGCCCAGAACTCTTGGCTGCGGCAGCCAATAATACAACGCGCCTGTTGCACGGCAGCCAGAGCGAGTGTTGGCGAATGTATGTGGCTGCTGTCAGTAACCGCGCACTTGCTGTGGCAGCCAATGAATATTCATTTTGCCAAATGTTAGATAAATATGCTTGCACAATTTTTTGTATTAAAAAAAACCGGTCTGGGTATGTATATCTTTAAAATAGTTATAGAATAAGCCTTTTGAATGCCGTTCTAGAAAAAGAGGATGAATCTAATGTCTTTTCTTTGCTTTGCGTTTTTTACGAGATAAAGTCCAAATCGTTCGACGAAAAGATCATAAATTGGCGTCGATTGGCTGCTATAACTGGCTGCTCAAATATGTCGGTTGCCGCAGCCAGGTAGCCTAGTGCACGGGGAGCCTTAGATTATTTATAAATTTCGCATGCAATAAAAGTTTTAAACGATCTGTATGTGAGTGCGCCATCTATTGGCTAGGAGTCCTATGATGCTAGTTCGTATTATTATATAATCTCTGGTCTTGCCTTCATGAGGCCGAGAGATGACAGCTGTTATTTTTGACCGAACAAAGATTATGTAACATACGGTTGCAATACAAAGTTCTTATCAGAATGCTAAAGTCAAGACAAAGTTTGTAAAAGAAACTATGACAAAAACCTATCATATTTGAAATTCTTCAGGGAATAAATTAGTATATACAATAAGTTATTGTGTTTACTCGACCCAAAGAATAGTTTAAACACGTATTGAGCATAAAATGTATGCTAAATAGATTATTAAAATACCACCAACATTACAGTAGAGGATCAGATGAGTATTACAACACTGCAGTGCAAACTTTACAAAACTTGCTGAGTGTATCTGCTTGTGACGTCATTTGAGGTCAAATGAACAACGTGCTGATTGTAGATTATACAATCATCATGTGTTGTTATTCATATTCAAAAAATATACTATTAGATATTTTTTTTGTAATTTAATAATGTTTTGAATGATTGTTTTAATACAATTAACATCCTTCATAACAACTTTTTTATTGGTATTTTTACTTATCTATTATCATCTAGTGCAGATAATCATACAAACTTTCGGACCACCTGTTAGGTAGTTATCAGAGTCTACAGACATTCCAGCATTATCATTCTATATATATAAGGTCAAGATGTGCAAATGGCAACCTATATTATGTCACGCAATCAGCAATAAGTTTTTTTTTAATGGGTAAATTATAGCAAGTTCACAGCCCACTTTCTACCAACTCAAACTAAGACATGACAAAAGGTTCAGTGTCCAAACTCGATAATTTGATATAAGCAAATGACCAATCAAAACAGGACTTTTAAACATTTTTATTCCACGACGGTGTCTGTCATTTGTGACACTCAAGAAAGTGACCGTCGGTCGGAGAACACTGTATATATATAACACTTATAAAATTAAATATGTGGCAAATTTAAATGAATATAAAACATAATAAACCAAAAAAATAAAAAGCCGACTTCAACAAAATAAAATAAGAATATCAACAATGTATTCGAAATAAATTAAATATGCATTATTAATGATAATAAAAGCTACTGGTTATACCTTGATAAAATTGGATTACATAGGAAATACATCGGAAGCACCGGCTTTCAAATAAAAAAGATAAATCATAATCGATTCACTAAAAAAAGATATGAAGTCTGTTAAAAAGAAACCATAACGCTGCGTTTTTTATGTATTTGCACGTAATGTGGTTACAGTGACATTCTAATGTTTGTGATGATTTTTTTGACTTTCAATTGTTTTAAATTCAATATTTAAATTAAAATAATTGAAGGATTTTCGAATCCCTGTTCGATGTTAGGCTGGACGTGATTCTAAGGCAGCAAAGACATCTTTCCATACCTGTGATTCGTTTGGGCATTAATTATTATTAAAAGTAATGGTTGAGGAAGACCTTATAAAACAACCAACTTATGCTTATATTCTCGGTATGTCTTTAATAATAAAAAATTAAGGTATATTATTATAAATAGTTTTTAATAATCGTCCATCAGTTTCCAATGAAATTAATCATGACTTGATTGCGTATTTAAGCCGAGGTAACTCGTGATCTTGGTTTGCCGCGCAAATATAAACTTTTCTTAAGAATCGATGATCAATAAGTCTTTAGAAAATCAAAGGCCGCGCATTACCAATCGCTAATCTAGAGGATTCAGTGTACATAACGTAACGACGGTTCGGCGGTTAGTTAAACAACAACAGCTGAAGATCTTATGTACGATTACTAATTATTATGTTCATCAACTTAATTATTCCATTGTATTACAAGACTAGATCTTAGAATAGTTTGATGGAAAACATGTTGTTGCTATTGTGTTTATTTCGTTGCTGCGGCTTTATTAAGTTCAAGATTAGTATTTTATTTGATAAATTAATTGATTACGAACATTTTTTTCAATTTTAAGTCAGGTTTAAAACAGCAACTTTTATTTTCAATGTTTATTTTATTGAAGAAAGGGCTCTGAGTGATAAGGTTTAGTGAAGTTGTGTTTGACGATTTTTTTTTGTTCATTCAAGCTGCAGCTGTGCGAATCGCATTTGATTTGTTGCGCATTCATAGCTGGAATGGCTGGACAGTAGCACAAACGTTCGAGTGTGTTGTAAGAACGCACCGGTGGGCAACACTATTCACTCTACTTCTGCCGCGAAGCATTTTTCCGTGTCGTTCATATAGAAAGACTAGGGAAGCTGTTACTTGTGTTTTTTTTTTATTGCTTAGATGGGTGGACGAGCTCACAGCTCACCTGGTGTTAAGTGGTTACTGGAGCCCATAGACATCTACAAAGTAAATGCGCCATCCACCTTG